TACGTAGTAGTAGTAGTAGAGTAGTAGTAGTAGTAGTAGTAGTAGTAGTAGTAGTAGTAGTAGTTACGTATAGTAGTAGTAGTAGTAGTATAGTATAGATAAGAGAGAGAGAGAGAGAGAGAGAGAGACTGTTATTTCAATGGGTGGAGGTTGTGAATACAGATAAGAGGAGGGAGAGATTGTCAAAGGGTGATTGTCGAGTGCCAAAAAATTCATATACACAGACACAACAAAATCTATGAACAGAGAGAGAGAAACAAAGACAACAGAAAATGAAGAGAGAGAGACAGACAGAGAGAGAGAGGCCGGAGTAAAAAGAGAAGGGGTTCTAGAGAGAGGAAATGGTATTTTTAGAGATGGAGAGTGCATGAGTTCTTTGCTGGGGGCGTTTCTAAAGAAGGGGTTCAATTTCGAAAGGCTAAAGATAAGGGAAGAGAAGGGGGTATCAGTGACAGAGGTGGAGGCGTTGCTATGACAAATGGATTGCAGGTCACATTGCTTCTCATCCATGGGTTATCGAACCTTCCTATAATAATAGAGCCCTCCCAAATTTAAGCTTTTTAAGGTTTTGTTCTAATGTAATAAACATAATCACCTCGCTTTTTAACAATTACTCTTAAAAGTCTAATCCCCTCGTGCTCTCCCCACACATACCCGTCTCAAATTCCAAAACACAAATAGAATGTAGAGGGATATGGTCATAGGATAGTCATGGAGTGCCAAGTAGAAGGATCTAAGTTTCAGTGTTAGCACACTCTGCTAGGATTTTTAAAGAGCCGTTCAAAAGTTTTCAAGCAAATGAAAATTGTTTTATTTTCTCTACTTAACCAGTTGGTTTTTGGGTAGTAGTTTTGTAATTCAAATAAGGATATATTTGGTAATAGAAAATTTATTTTATAATAGCATGTATTTGATATTCTAAATTTGTTATAGAAAAGAATGTATATAGAACATTTAGTGACCCGCGTGAGGGCTCACTATGGGACACATGGAATTTCCATGTGGACTAACTAGCCAGGGGAGCAATGTGGAAGTCAAAAACTCAAAGTGGTTGGGCGTTCGGCCCACTAATGCTCTAGATAGGGGAGTGTGGACCCCATGTGGACCTTCTATTTCTAATTTGGAATCCTAAAGAAAATCCAAGTGGTTAAGTGGTTAATATTGAGAAGTCAAAGCTACAAAGTGGATAGGATTAGAATCTTGGAAGGAAATCTAATTTTCATTGTAGTTAGTTATGAGAATCCAAATAGAAATGAAAATTTCCTAAGAAAGTTCAAATGGACACTTAATACAGCTAGAAGAATGTTGGAACAGGGATTATGGTGCATCATCCACCCTTGATTCAGGATGGTTGGGTACTAGATGGCCGATATTAACCTTTTCGCACCATGGATCTCACATTAGACCTAGAAAACAAGTTCCTTTTATATCCACTTGACCCTAGACTGCACCATATAAAGGGTATCTCACACCATTACGACATAGATGACTCATTTAGAAAGGGCTTCATGAGAGGGAACCTAGGTTTAGATCACATGGGAGGCTGAGAAAATAGAGAGGGGCATCTTAAAAAATCTAGGATTTTTGGGTTGTGAGAGAGGAAAAAGAGAGAAAGGGGAAGTGCATACGGGTTAGGCTAGGGTTTATGATCATCCACCTCCTTGTTTGAGAGATCCAAGTAGAGAGAGAAGAAACTGTACAACTTGCAACTCCATGATTATTTTATTCACCAAAAATAGAGAAATACATCTTCCTCCTAGAGGGTTTTATGAGAGAGAGTGTGTGTGTCTAAAAGATGGCAATATAGAATATTTTTTTCTTTCTTTTATTTATTCTAGCTATTCCACATTCATATACCAACTACAATACAAAAACCATAAAAACAAAACCTAATACAATCTAGCATCCTCACTTGTGTGCCATAAAACAAAACTTCTTTTATTTAGAAACAATCAACATAACTGCATAAAAAATAAATCAAGAAACATGGAAACAATATAACAGGATAACCTTGCCTCGGATCATCATTAAGGATTTAGCCCCACTTCGAAGCACCTAAGCTCGATGGCGCACTGATCTATGTCCCTTCTTAGAATCTCCTTAGGATGGGAAGCTCTATGGCAAACCTAATAGTTGGGGTCAAGAGAGTATAACCAAGGCCACAATATCAAACTCAAGCTTTTACCTCACATGGGCCTAGGTTTTGGCTCTAGGTGTGGCCCTAGGGCTAGAAGAGAGATGGGAGAGAAGGGAGAGAAAGAGGGGAGAGAGAAGAGAGAAAGATGAGAGAGAATGGACGTGTGGAGGCCTATAGATAGATCTCTACCAACTTGATGCTAAAACCTATCCCCAAAGGGTTTATTTATAGCGCTTTTCTAACGTTTTAGGGTTAGCACTTGCCATCTTACTAATATTCAATTTGGACCGTCGATCTCCAATGATATGTGGGTTGAAGAGAGGCTTCCAATCTCAGCCCTTCTTTCCCTAAATCAGCAATCATGATGAAGCGAAGGTAATAGAACCATTATCCCTTAGTTTCCTTGACCCATTCGCTTTTAACTATTTAGTTTTCTTTCAGGAATATACTTTTAGTTTCCTAAAAATTCAACTTATAGAACCATGTTCTTTTTTTTTATAGAACCACGTTCCAATAAACACAAATTATCTTCCTTCTCTCTCTTCCAAATATTCAATCACAATGCTTCCTAAAAATCCTAGATGCGGATCCACTTTCAAATAAAAACACATTACCTTCCTTCTCTGTCTTCCAAATATTTAATCATAATGTTTCTCAATATCTAATCAACCTTTTGGATGGCTTGTGAGAGAAGCTAGAAAAGAGAGAGAAAATGGGGTATATGGGCTATTGAAAGCCCATGTAGGCCCCATGTGCCCATGGCTATTGTGCCCCCACGTGATCCCACAATTTCCATGCCCTAACAATAAATTTAATCTTGAAAAATCGCTATTACGTAGTTATAAAATACTATTTTGTGAAAATAAAATCTATAGAGCATTTTATAAATTCATTTTATTGTATATAATTTTTATAAAATATATTTAAACACAACTAGAAGAGAATTTAGATCCATTAGGTCAAGAACAAGCGATTGCTAAAGCACTCCACCTATTCCACAACTCGCGGACCATAGTCATCTTCGCCAACCAGTGTAATGGAATCCATGACCCACAGTCCAAGTAAGGCTCATGCTTGGCCCATCAAGACTGGCCAAAATATGATGGAAACATAGGCCTCATTTGAGGATTTCAAGTCCACCCCAAGAACAAGTCATATCCCATTGGACATGTGCAAACTATTGCAATGGTGGGGGGGATCCTCTCTTCAGCACATCTACACCTTATAGACCCATGGGTGGCTTCCTATAATAGAACTATCATATGTATATGTTGTGCATTGGTAACATAGTTGTTAAACGTGGGAGCGGGTTCACGAGCAAGATCAGTTCGGTGAATGACGAACCACCATAGTATGAAAGCTCCCTGGGGTTAGGATCAGTGTCCACATATTCAAAAAATTAAGAAGCAAGATCCTAGGATACCTAGGAGCGAGATCCCATATAACTGGAATCAAGGTATTGACTTGGAGGGATCTAAGCTCCAATACACCTAAAACGAGATCAATTAATAGTATATGATAAAATTAGGATCAAGCTAATGCTCGCTCGATCCATT